ATGTGTATTGTCTCGCTCGCAACTTTTGGATCTGATGTCTGTTGGCCAGGGTCCAAACGCCGAACTCTACGAGGAATATTCACATCCTCAACTTCTAACCTCAGCAGCATGATTGACAGAGCTAACCTGATGGGATTATAGGCTGCACTTGCAGCAATGAAGACAACACCAAATGTAGTCCTTCATAGAGAAGGAGGAATCCCGCCGGCAAAGATCATATTGGAGGGAAACCGTCTCCGATTTTCGGCAAGGCTTAAGACCCTTGATGACCTATGTTTTCGTATGCCCGAATTTCGGCACTCAAAATAACAAAAAGATTGCCAAGTCCTCAGCCTAGCCAGATATTCAGATGTGACGATTACAGCGTGCCTATCGAGAGCTCTCGGAAGCAGAGGCTCCTAAGAGTCTGATGCCAGTGGTCTACCTTCGGAAATTATGCTCAAAGCCGATGGAACGCGAAGACTGCGTTAGATTGATTAGCGACGTGCCAGGAACGGACATTTGCGCATACTCAGATAGTTCATCGGAAGGACACGGACGCTCCGCCTGGGGTTTCTTTCTGAGCAAGGATGGAAAACCCATCGGCAAATGAAGTGGCATCAAGCACGGGGGAGAGGTGCTGGATGTAGAGATAATAGGAGGAAGGTAGGCTCTGGAGGCCGCACTGGAGTTCTTGGAGAACGAAAAGTGCAGGATAGTAGGAGGTTCGCAGCAAATCTACGTGCTTCTAGATAGTCAGCAAGCAGCAAGGGCGCTTGTGACGGGATCTTCCTCAACTAGCTTAGAAGATGTACGCAAATTCCGTGCGTTATCCAACAAGGCTGAAATATCAGTGAAGCAGGTTCCAGGGCATGCAGGAATCCAAGGAAATGAAGAGGCAAACGCCATGGTCCGTGCAGCACTTCGAGAGTTGCCTAGCCCGGATACGCAACCAGGATCCAGTACTCTGGCAAATCTTCGAGGGCTCATGAATCACAGACGGCAGAGATTGCTGGACAGTTGGTGGGAAGAGGCCTGTCCGCCTAAATACCGCCAACTCTACAGGTGCGGAGTCACAAACCACCAGAACTGTCTCTCTCTAGGCACCTGCTCCGTAAACTAATTGCAGCACAAACCGGTCACGGCAATTTTGCGGCATACCATCGCCGTTTCAACAACCCATATGTTCCTATGGAGTGCTCTTGCGGGAAGGAAACTACTCTAACCCATTTCATCCACTGTAGCCACCACGCACAACACACGCGTAGGCTCAGAAATTCAATGTCCCACGCTGACTTTATCAAAAAGCCTCTCGGGCCCAAGTGCCACGATAGCTTCAAAATATTTGCGGAGGAAACCGGCTGTTTTGATAGCCAACCTGCCCACTCATCCACTGCTCTCAGCGAGGATCAGATAATCTAGTCATTGCCACAACACATGACAAGAAAGGGAACGAGGCGAGAAGTGTCGTTTCTCTGAGGAAAGATTGTAGCTATTTGGATTTAGAGAAAAGGATTGGTTTTTTGATCTAGGAGTTGGAGTAGGTGGTGTCCGCGTCGTAATTTACTTCCTACTATTTCTGTAGCAAGTCCAGCGGTTGGAATGAGTTGGGCCTGTAAGCAGTGATCCCCGCCGGCTCCACCAGTCTTGTACCTATAGTGGACCTAGAGCTTTAGCTTAGGACTTTGATATAAATAAAAAAAACAATTTTATCAGTAACAATCCTGTATCAATGTGAGTTACTATCATGAGTGTATCGGCTGTTGAGCCTAAGAATTTCTCTTGCCTACTCTGGCTAGTACAGGGAAATAGATTAAGAGAATATTCGAGAAGGATCTCGAAATGCAATGATCTTAGTAATTCTTGGTGATTTTTCTTGAAACATACTGAAAGTCCGTGAAGATGACAAGTGTACCGAGAATCATGTAGGGGTAAATCAAAGAGTCCAAACTATTCAGATGATTGAGAGAATCTTACTAAAAGGGAGTATCTTAGATTGAAGACATACGTCATCTATAGCTGAAAGATTTCTCTCTTCAGAGAATTATAATTAATATACCGTATCTTTAAGATTTCCCCTGAATTTTGTATCGAAACCGCGATAATAAGATATGTTTGTATAAATCGAAAACATAATAGAAGTGTAAACACCGCATAGTCAAAAGCCCGGGCTTCGTATCTGTAGTCTTAGTTTCCCCTTTGGGAATTTACGTAGCATCGTAATTTGATAGTGGTAGATGGCTGGTAATGGATGAGGAAGCTCCCCATAGCAATTGGAACAGCTCCTTGATCAGTCGATGAGGCGAGACAGTATTCGTAAAAATGAGTTAGAGGACTCGTTGGAGGATGGTTTGACTTATATTGGCGAGGAGTCGTTTATTTCAGATATGCTCGTATTTGCTTTCGACATCGATTCAGACAGAATTCTTCTTGACAATCCCACTCATGTATAGGATACTAAGCGTCTACCCCAGCACGCCCTCATAGCTCGCAATTCACTCAATAAATGAGCCTGTTGGATTTAAATCAGCATTTGCAGGAACCGAGATAGCGGAGGATCTAGACTTCCCTGTCTAGCTCCCTTTGAGAAATCCTAGACGGCCGGCTAACACGCCATCTGACTCTCAGATAACGTTTTGATTTAAGCTATTCAATCATTTTAAAATATCTGGACCCCTAACTAAGCCTATTATCAGTGTATGAATGTAATTGCTGAGTTACGCCCTTTGGGCTTAAGAAGCCACTATATCTTAAGTGCTAAACGGTAAAAGCAACATGTTGAATAGACTAAGAATACCCTAAGTTGACACTCTAATTTACAAAAAGTAGTAGGTGGAGTAACATTGGTGAATATTCCAGTGAATCAATAGAACATTTTGTTTCTTACGAACTATAATAGATATAAATACATAAGAAATCAATCTTCATCAGACTTTTGTCCAACGATAATGTAAAGGAAATCCCCATATGCACTAGCATGCACCCTAAAAGATAACGAGTCAGCCTCCGTTAATTTTAGCCTCACAATGTAGCCTAAAGCTGGGTTGATTGTAAGCGACTGCGACGCATGTGAGGAGCCCATTGTTGATGCCACGAGCGATTATATATCAAAACATAATCATTTTATTAAAATTGAGTGGCAATTTGAAATGGGCAAGGCTCAAGCTAGACAGTGTGCCATGCAGGACAGTCTTGAAGTAGCTTCTGGATCACTTAGTCTTCTAGCCTTAGGAGCATTGTACAATCCTGGTTCGCATCCTATAAGGCTTGCCACTATCGCGATGATATTTTATAGGAAAAATGTTCTTAGCTTGTTGTTGTAGTAGCTATAGGTTTTCAATCTAGTTACTCGCTGGCCGAACACGTCTGAAGATATTTCAACCCTAAAAGTGAAGCGGACGAGCGACCCCAGTAATTCATAAAAATTTATAGAGTAGGCAGTTGTTTTATTCAGAACAGCTTGTCCTCATTTCACCCAAGGAGCTAACTAACGCTTCCTTTCGTTCAGATGAGGTTCAAGGGGTGAGTAACTACCTGAATGCGGACATTAAAAACGGACGAAATTTTCTAAGCCCTACCGTTTGGGGAAGCTTATCAATAACAGCTTGAAACTTTCCTTTGGAATTGATGAATTAAATAATGCAAGAAGCTAATTAATCTGCCTTGGCCAGTGTGTCAGAACTTTGAGGAATAAGATCTGCTGAGAAATCAAAATGTATGGAACTAATCTTCATACCTGCATTCAAAGATCAGCGATATTGGAGGGGCAAACTTTTCTCGACAACTATTAGTGGTGTCCCCTACGAACCTCCAGCTCTCACTGTAGAGTCTGCAGAGCCGAGATTGAGTACCAAAGTCCTCATTTCGACGAGGATTCCCAGTCGCATCTGCGGTCTGTATCGTCTTCATCTCTCAAAACATCAACCTATCATCATTATCATGAAGCTAACCACGATCAGATCAGATGGTAGGGTCGGAGCCCTACTCATCACCCACCCTTGATCAAGGAGGAGATGCCATCCGATGAGTTTCAGGAGCGCACCCAGCACCCGATACGGAGATGGCGGATTGGATCAAGTCGACCTCAACTGTTACAAAGAAGAGAGATATAGATGAATATGCGCACCTCATGTGGTCCCGGTGTCTAGGCCTCGCCTGGCTAGGGCTGCAGGTTTTTTGAGACTTTTTCCCGCACTCGCAGTTTCCATTGCTACCATTTTTATTTTTTTTGGGTAGAATGTTCCGTGGAAAAGGTGGCCGAATTCCACGGGTAAATACTGAGCTGAATGGCAATTCATTAAGGGCAATATATCAATGATCTTTGAAGTAACAAAAGAGGATAGGAGCAATATACAATGTGTGGCCTACGTCAGAATGGAGCCCAATATGTTAGATAGTCATAGATTCAAGTAGCACAATAAACACTCACTCACCAGCGATATGGGAACTTATTGCGATTCAAACTGAGTGATCTGACTAATATAGACGATTTTTTCGCTCGAGCCTTCTCAGAATACGCTGATTATTACACCTATGCCTAGATGGTTCAGTCAGTTACTAATTGGCCTAGTAGCGCTTTAGTTGATCCGAGGATTAAATTGTTCAGTATGCATATAAGCATTTACTATCAGAGAGTCATAGAGGGCAAGTATCGACAAAGGAATTGTAGTTGTGTGCCACGGGTTGGTAGCACTCGTCTGTTGGCCGAGACATAACTTTATGAATTCTTTGCGCCGTGTAATAAATGAGTAGATTTGTTTTTTACATTTGTATATGGTTTGATATTCAGTAGCTTCCGTCTTTATATAAAATTGTATTCGATACGAATCATTCAAACTACTCAAATGAAAAATCACATTTTCAGTCGACTTTAAATCTTCATTTACACAAAGTAGAGTTAACTGCCCGGTTACATTTCGTCTGAGTTTCGTGCTTTATCGCTTTTTTTTGCTCCGTAAAATTTTGAAGGCCAAAAGAGTGTGAAAATTGGTGTAAGTCCGATAACTGTCGGGTTCGTTGCCTCATTCATCCCCCAAGCTTTCTCTTACTTTCTGTCGGCATCTCTTTCGAAACTCCTTGTCACCACTGCTCTTCTCGAGCCGCCAAAGGCGGGCGGCCTCCACATTAGCCGGACTTTCATCATTTGGACTGTGTAGTAGACTGATTACGCTAAGCAGAATGGTCTCAGGAGTCTGGACAGGGCTCCAGCGCTCCGCTGCACTTTCATAGCCATACTGATCTTCACCCGGTGCATGTAAGATGGAGATACAAAGGCGGCCATCTGCGTATATGTTGGGGTGGAAGGGAATGGGGTTGCGGAAGGTGAGGGTGGGTGGCAAGAGCGGATATTCGGACGGAAATGCCAGTAAGCAGCAAAAGTTGCCGCCTATCGCGAGACACCCTCATCGTCAGTGATACTACTGTCATGATATTTATGGGGCATACGCGAGCATAGGCGCGGCCGGATGTGGATGGATACACATACCGCCATAGTACTTGCAGTCATCCGAAATCATGAGCATGACTTCCCACACAAAGATATCATTTTCCAAAAGACCACAAGAGATTCCGGGAAGATCTTTTGCGCCTTGCATGTATTTCAGCTGTCGTTGCAAGAGCCCAGCGGCTCCTGTTTGTGTCATGGCTGGCCTGATCGGACCTCGGTATGAGGAAGTGATTTGAAGGTGGCGATTTATGCCGAGAGGCGTGATATTGGGTCGGCAGAATTGTCGAAAGCAACGGTTGGTCAGGGTTTTTGGAACAGCGTAATTGATTCCGAGAAGGGAGGCGAAGTAAGAGATTGGCGGTAAAAATGGCAGTTTCGAAACCCCGCACTCATTCAGTCATCATCGCGTGTCGGGGTGGCATAGCAGAGGGCGGCGTGTCTCAATGGACCTTAGTCAGCCGCTTGCATAAGGCGATAGGCTTGGATGGCAGAAAGACTCACCAGTGTTTAGGGCCGGTTAAGAGTGCAGCTGAAGACGTTACCATTTCTTTATGCCGACTGGATTATCTGACCAATGAACAATTAAATTTGAAGTGAGACCCCTTGATGGTTATCAATTACCTTCAGGCCCCTTCAGCGACTCCAGGCTTCCTCAAACCTAGTGTTTCAGATTTTCGAAGTCTAACCATAACCTCTGGACTAGAGACAAAGCTGGTGAAGAAACAAGACTTTTCCTTGAATGAACGATTACAGGAAGCTCTTGCGGTTCTTACACCAACAAAGTATCCGCGACGGAGCCACGATGTGTGGGGGAAACGAGTAGAGAAACAAGCAACATGGAAGAGACATTATTTAAATCAGACACATTGACGTCGATCACAAAGTAGCTAAAAATATCACGAGTCGAGACATCTCAGCTGAAGGTAAGGTAAACATTCAGTAGTGGCTGTGAGGTGTGTGAGTCGCTGAATCGTATGTACCATGAAAATAGGTAGAGTAGTGAAGGCAAGGGACAAATAACTCTTGTCTGATCGGATGAAGGTACAGACGCAAAACTTCAGAGTCTAACATGGGAGCCTCGAGGGATATCAGGATGGTTACTTTCCCGGAACTTCACCGACTAAGCACTGGGAAAAGATGCATGAACATGACAGCAGAAGAAAGTAAGACACCATGCCATCCAATACTGAGCTGGTATAACGTGGTTATTGGTTTCACATGTGCTTGATGACAAGTATGATATGATCGCATTGTTTGGTATGGCTTGATACGTTTGGGGAATGGATTTAATCCCTTTTTATTGAATACCACTACCGCAAATACCGCTTCGTGTCAAGATCATCGAGACTCAGGCGCGATGGAACAACCAGACACGGTACCGGTGCTAGAGTGCAGATTAAGAGGGCCAATCTTTGCCAGAGACGCTCCATCTAACCAGGACTTAAAGGTGTATTCATGTCACCATGGCCTCATCTTTAAACAGATAGGGATGCTTATGCTGGATCAGGATGGATTGAGCCACGCGTGTCTCTCTTCTGAGCGCTAGGGGAAGAGGGAGAAGATATGTAAATCAAGCCGCGGCGCGCGCTCGTCGATCAAGAATTCCGCCGGCCCATCTCTCGCTCAAGGTCTTAGGTTGGATAGCGTCAAGGCTGGAAGAATCAGCCAGGGCTCAAGGCAACGTGTCTGTGGGACTGGTGCGAGATGGGCGGCCAGGAGCCCTTAGTGCCGCACGCTGACTGCCAGCGAGGCTTAGCGGGTAGACGATATGCAACCAGGAGAAATGATGGGAGACCGGCGCCGGCGACTGATTTTTCCGGACGACATGGCCATGGTCTATGACGAGCATGGCAGCAAAGACAAGCCAGGGACACAACCTCACATCCTATCTACCCCATCAGAGCGCGTCCCCGACCGGGCGGCCGGGAGCATGCGTCATCATTATGGCGCCAGAGCTCATGATCTCTGTGCACGGCCCCTACATTAGTGGCCTGGCTGAGACTTGAGGTGAGGCAGCAACCGATGACTGAATCCCCCATCTCTTGTTCAGATAGCCGAACGAGACAGCTGAAGCTCTGCCACTGACACTGACATCTAAGCCGCTCCTCATCACGCCTTTTCCGAACGCCAGACTCCTCTTGCTCTCAGCTCTGCTCAGGAGATCCCCCAGCGACGCTCAATGATGACTGCAAGGAGCGGAGGAGTAACGTTGCCTCTTGCCCTCTCTTACCCTGCGACTCATCGCCATCGCCTCGATCCTTGTCCTTGGCCTCTTTCGTTTACCTTAACTTTTTGATGCTCTGAATCATCGTCCGCTGCTGCGCCCTGCTAGCAATTTGAGGCACTTTCTGTAAAGAATTGACCAGTCGGAGCTTGGAGACGGTACCTGCAAATTAAACGGGTTAAATTTCATTTCAACCCTTCGTATGGCCCCGCAAGAAGAGCAAAACGTGCCGACATTCCAGGTACCGTGCATGATACGTTGGCGTCAAAGTCATCGTCCTTTTCAGAGTCACATGATGGGCTGTAGAGAGAATCAACTATGGATCATGATGAAATTTTACGAATAAACTGATTATTCAAACCTCTAGACTTCCGCCTTTGATACCACCTTCTCCAAAATAGGGAGAGTTCTCTTGTCTACAAGAGTTATTACTAGTCCTTTTATCTCACCCCCATCTCCTTTACAAAACTCCTATGCACCGTTCTACCCAAGATCAACGTGGAGCGCAGTGTTCTGCCTTATTACCCAGCTAGCCCCAGGTGTAAAGAAATCGCTTTTTTCGCGGCATATGTTTCATAGTTTGAGAGTCGATGGCGTCTTGGTGACTCGTTGACGGGCCACCGTAACAATCCGCGGATCGCAGTGAGTAACATGTTAAAATTAGGCTGACTTGCTTTGTGATTCGTCCCAGTTAATTGTCATTCGTTTCAACCATACTGTCTCTGCACATCAGACACTCGGTCTATTCCCTCTCCTCTTCCCACTCCATCAAGAGCACGGACCCTCTCTCTTGCCCATCTAATAACCCGTGCTGACCAAAGAGTCCGGCCAACCTTGTAAATTGACGACGCCCGCGCGGTCAGCAGTAATGTGTCATTGGCTGAAAAGGAAATGAATAGAGCTTTTGTAGCGACATGTAGCGCAAGACGACCATTGCTCCAAAAGTCTCGGAATCATCTCAGATGATTATCGTGTCACCTTATCCTAGCGCTCTAACAATTCCTGTCATACTTTTATCACCATCGAGATATGCGGCGTATGGTTGGCGTCGAAGACAAGGCGGGCAGTTCGTTTGTTTGAGGCCAGGCAGAAGGGTGCTTGGATCGCTTGCTTCGGCTTAGTGAGGAGCGTAGAGAGGCGCGGAAGGAGGAAGAGGACGACGAAGATGATGACGATGATGATGATGATGCGCAGGAGTCGTGACGCGGCGAGAGTTTGACGAGATAGTGATGCTGGTGATGGGTTTGATCGTCGTCGTCGATGGTCACTAAGGTGGGGTGCGAATGCGTGAGTTTTTTGAGAATTACTGAGGGAAGACGAATCATTTTGAATAATGAGAGGTTTAGTTCTCGATGGTGCAAAGCGTATTGGATGTGGGCGCTTGTGTGAGTGTGGAAAACGCAGCAAGGTAGTGAAGCTCGGTGTGTCTATGAGGATATAAAGGCGATGAGAAGATACTTCAATATCTAACTCGAAGGACTGAGTGAACAGATCGAAAATGGCAGCGAAGGGTGAGAAATGGAAAACGAAGCTGATTTAAGGAGCGTCCACTTTCCTGGCCGTAGTAATTAGATTGGAGTAGGAAATGGAAACGATGAAGCTTGGGATGCTGGAGATTGACAGGAATCGGGGAGATATCGGCTCATATTTATCCCTATCCAGTGTTTTTGTTTCTGCTGCTGCCTCGACCACCCCTCCCATCCGCAGACGCCTGTCGCACCGGCATCAGCAGCGGCGGCGGCGGCTAGTAGCAGGCAGTAGTCACAGCTCGACGCTAATCCTAATCCACCTCCGACAGGGCACCCCCGTGACCCCTCAAAACTCAACTCAGCGCCGCCCCTGCTCTTTGGCCTCTGTCTATCCCCGTCAACTCCGAGGCAGAGCCTTCCTTCCAATATCATTCATCTACAATTGCCACAAATAGCCCTGTACCCTCTCAGGCCCAAAAGCTGCAGTTGTGGTAAATTTGGCAAGGCCTCCCGAGTTTACGCATGAAGGATCAAGAAAGCATCGTGGTTAGCCCGACTGCCTGAGGGCCGCAGAAACCAGGCCACTATTCCAGACTCTACCGGCCAGCTCCAATCCACTTTCTCTCCCAAATACACATGGGCCAAGCCACTCCCATTCCACCACCTACTTGGCCACGAGAGATTCCACTGTCTTTCCAATAGCCCCGGTCTCGCTCTCTTTCTGACTACCCGCCTTCACCTCCAACCAACATCCTGGACATCTAATCTCCATGGCCATTCTTTTACACAACAGCCCACTTCTATTGATAAAAACTATTTACGGCAACTGCCACGCCAATAAATCCAGCCCAATAGCCCTCGGTAGATAGGCGTGAGTAAGGTAGGAGAAGGAGGAAATTCGCCAGCTACCCGGCCCGCATAGAAAACCAAAGGAACAGCATCTGCCACTATCTTCCTACTTCCAGACTATCTCCTGCTTCAATTTTCTAGTTGTACTCCGGCTCTGCATTCACCCAGTCACTGCAATCTACCCTGGCCCATCATTGTCATCATACTTATCTGTCCAAATTCTTACCCTATGTCTGCTCAAACTTGCAATTATTTGCCTCGGCGTGTCCCATTGAGCTCTGGGTCCAAGTGTCCGATAGCCAGCTCTTAATCTCAAAAGAGGTGCTTTCCGTGGTTCCGTCATCCAACCTCCTAGTAAGACCCACCACGAACAACACCTAGGATTTAGTGGCAATTTTTGGTATTGCTCCAACAGTATGCCTTTTGGGTTCATACACAACCTAAAGACCGTAGAGAGGAAGGATTGCGACAGCGGCCCGGAATAACATACATTGGTTTCCCCTGTCCCCACGTGATATATCGCGAATCAGATGAAAATGGTCATGTGATATTGGCCTTTAGCCGAGAGGATGCGACGAAAGAACTGGTCTGTGCCATGAATAATAGTCATGTGATCGTTTGGAATGTAATTCTACGAGCGCTACGCTGATCAGTCTCGTGGTGAGTGCAACGTAAAAATTAATACAAGTCTGCTATCACAATGATGCTGATAGTACTCAGATTGCCCCGCCTAGCGATCCAGTCGCCATGCAACCGCTTCGCACCCTCACTTTTCTTGCAAAATCCTGGAAAAACGGTAGCCGAACAGTTGTTGGGGGAGGTTGGCTGCCTGCTTCCTCGCTCGCTCGGATGAAGAAGACGTTGGAAGCTGAAGTGCCCAGCGAAAGAAAACTTCAGGGAAATTTACAGTGAGAATTATGGAGCCCAAACGAACGTACCATTTAACACGCCGTGCGTCAACACAGGTAGACGCTGTCGTCCATGTTACTCCAAAATCTTGTACAGGGAAATTGCATGTCCTAGCTCCAACGTTCAATCCATCGTGATAGTTTCGTGCTCCTATCTTCCATGAGAAGCCTACATGCAGGGAGTCTTATCCGCCCACAAACCCCAAGGCAACAAGTGTGTGTCGATCAGCAAGGATTCTGCCATCAATAAACACCAGCTCATAGGAGGAAAAATCCAGTTGCTCTATTACAAAAGACTCAGATGGCAAACAGACTCATCGGGGACTAGGATGCGCCGTGGTAAGCTAGAACTATCAACATCTCGAAAGACGATCAACTGAAATCGTGAGATATCTTGTTATCCCTAGCCAAGGATGTGCATACTCAAGGTTCTGATGTCCTAGTAGTCTTCCTGATCGCTATCTGACATGCGACGTTTCTTTGGATCCAATGAATCGAATGCCTTAACACCTGTAATCTCGTATTTTGATGGTTCATTCTTTGGTCAGCAGTATCGTGATTCTCTCCTCGCTTCCTCATCCATCTCATCTAAACTTTGACTTAGCCTCGTTAGCGGCCCCTAGCCTCATCGAGTCGATTAGTAAGCACAAACTACCCTGACCCCAACCTTATCTCTTGCCCAGATGTTTCTTTCGTAACTGGCTCGCTATCTTCCTCGTCAATTTTCTCATACTGCCTTCACTAACGGTGGCATCCCTGAGCCTGGCACGAACGTGAGGGAAGCAAGCCAAGGACGAAGTCCCAATCCAGAAAATAAAAATGGAATACTTGACCCCGCAATAAACAGCCCGGTTGGTACCCGATACCCACTAACCGATGCGACACGTCCATTCTCGCAACCTCTCTCAAATGCGAGGTCGGCAACTTCCTGGCTTACCATGCACACGGAGAGAATCAACTGATCTGGATCATCCGCTTGAGTCAAAACCACCCGATCCAACACTTGGAAAAGTGTATTCAGACTGACTACTCTGAATGAGACTCATTATTCACACATATCGTATACACGCGGTATTACATTGAGCTTCCTCATGGCTCAGTACAATTGCGACATGTCACGCGGAGGAACCCGATATATTCTTTTACCAACCCCTTATAGACTACCTGGAAGACAACTACCACAAGATAACTCAATCCCGCTCCAGAAGCTGTTCTGTCCTAAGGATAAATAGACAAGCCGAGTAGCGGACCACATTGCCATCCCGATGCCTAGGAACAGGGTACAAAAATTATCACTGGAGTGGTCTAGACTCTGGTCTTTCTATTTTCTCCTGCAGATTCCCTAATCTGGCCCACCCTCATCCTCCGCTATCTCCGCCTCGCGCGTCTTAGCCAGCTCTAATATGCCAGGCGAGGTACGCGACTAGGGCTCCCCTCAACGCTGTGGGGTTGCAGATTAAGGATTCGCCCAGCCTAACTTGGGATACCTGCAGCTACTCATCCCTGAATGTCTATTGGCAATTGAATATCTATTGGCTCCCATTTGCCCCGAATCTACAGGACTTAGTATGATATCATAGCCAAAATAAATCTTTTGGCCCAAAATCTTGTGGCTTCTGTCCAGAGTAAAGCCTTTTTATCAATCCAGCCCAAAGCTACTACAAATTTATCATAATAGCAGTTATGGTACAAACGAGTCTCGCCATTTTGGATAAAAATACAAAGAGTCCCAGAAGTACAATCCCTCGTGGTATCCGGGAAAAAAGCCCCCACAATCCATGTCTGTATGGGCGTGTGACTTGAAAGATATTATGGTCACGGAATTAGAGGTTTGGTCAAAAGGAAGCATAGTGTAGATCAAGACCTGTTCCTAGATAGAATCTTCTCCGCTTAAAAACTTCTTTCAGATTTCTTTACATCGGGGCAGTATTGCGCCCCGTCCTGTCCCACACAACAAGCCCCGGCGATGAACTCTACGTGCCACTACCGGACCAAGGTTAAGTTTCGAGACCATGTCACGCCCCCTTACGATGGAGTGATTCCAGAACTCTCCTCAAAAAGACTACAGTCATCAACGCTAGAAAGTACCAGTCTACAACGGAAATCTTCCGCCTATATGAATTGGCTCGGTAAAGTATACATGCATGGCAAATGCTCACGGCATCTGCCACCATACTCTATCTTTATGATTCATCGGTCCGGGCATTTACCTGCCGAGGTGGACCACTGAATGCATAGACATCTCACGCTTTGTTCTCGAGCTAGGATGGAATGGTTATCTGTCAAGATCTAGGCCAGACGGACGCTCGCTGGAGAGCTTAGCTAGCTCCGTCGTCGTTCGAGTGTGGGGTAGCCGCGGATGCGATCACCCTGCGATATGCTCGGAGAGAATTTCTCACCGGAAAAGATCTAGTGGAGAGGACTAGAGTCATTCCACAAGCTTCTCTGCGCATCCCCCGCTGCCGCATAGGTCGGCTTCAATAACACAACTTAACACCATGTCCAATCGCAGGCTCATAGCGATTAGATTACTTTATTCCAGGATAACGGCTTGTGTTGTCTGATGCCTAGATTGACTTATAGACCTTTTTTATCCTCACCTGTGGCTCCAAGTTTAGATACATGGAAGTTGCTTGCTATCTACCAAGATACAAGCGCGTGCATTAGTAATGTACGATAATATTATCAGAGCTTACTCATTCTGCTCTGACCTGCAAATTTTCGGCCGCCCATAGATTCTCTCTATTATATCATTTCTCTACAAGCTACTCACTACACAGAAGTAGCCATCAATATCACGGTGAATGATCGCAACGAGTAAAAACCCGCTCCGAAATCATGCGATGATCAATAAATTACCAGCACATATTAACCGAGGCATTCCCAGGGTAAAGCGATAGGTGTCACTAGATGAGATTTTTCAGTAGCTTTCATCGTAATCTTACTTATTATTGTTAGAGCCGGCTAGTCTGGATACGTAGAGTTCGTCGGAGTGTATTGTGATAGTTTTTACCTAATAAATTCAACAAGGCAGTAAATTGGTCTCCTCTACAATTAGTTTGAAAACACGAAAAATCATATCTAAGAAATCAAGGCCTTACTAGTGATACTCAGTTTTGCCAACAATAAATGATAGATGGCCCAAAACTACAATATAGTAGCAGACAACGGCGAGACTCAAAGCATAATTAAGCATGTGGAGAGAGCAACATCTGGCTATATCGCAGCGGGGATGCCGTCCCTTCTCGAATATGTAGCATTACTCCGGGTCGTCTTTCAGCCTCCGGTCAAACTGAGGACTCGTCGCTATAAAAATCGTGCCAGCTTAGCCTACCTAACACATCCTTATCTCTATCCTACGGGCATAGGATCTGATCGTAGCTCAAGCATAGTTATTTGATCCGCATCCGTAACTTTTTCTTGGGAGAGGGGCAAGTTCCGGCGCCAAGGAGGCTTTGCCGTGAGAAAATGTTATAAAGAGCGGGGCGATAGGGCCCTACTCGCTCGCGGACGTAATTGACATTGATATGAGAAGCACGCATACTTTTGATTCTCGCCCAAACTGCCGAGGGGTCCGGCAAGTGATTTCACTGGTAGATCTACGCTGTATAAGACTCTAGGCTGTTGGGATGAGTAGCTACTGGCGAAAATAAGAGCTGAGTCACGTTGAAGCTATTGCATTTAGGCAGCTCCCCCGTCGGCCTCTCAATTATCCTAGCTACCTTGGACGGCTGGGCCCGGCAAAAAGTTGCTTCCTGTGAGGCCCGACACTGTAGCTCGCCGAGCCAGTAGTCGATGCTCATTGTGGCCGACCCCCAAGAAAAACGAGTCGCTAGAGGAGGGTGGTACTGGCTCCTTCACGAGCCTTATCCCCACAGAACTACGCCTGAAGTAGACTGGGCTCGACGAAATATGGGTCGCAGGTCCGCAGCTAAGAATTCCGCTCGTCGACTTCATGGCTAGCTAGCAGATGATATGCCAGATGAGGGATGTCTCCAGCCTTGTTTGCGGAAACACACAACACACAATACACGTCGCACGGGTATTAGACCTGGAAATCGAAGCGAGAGAATCAGGAATAGTTCATGAGCTCAAAGTTCTAATGCCGCATCGGACCACTTCCAAATGGGGCAGAGAGTAAGTCTTGAAAAGTTTCCGGTGCATTGTCAGGTAATTAGACTTTTGCATCCGGAAGGAAAGAACCTGGAAAGAGAGGGCGATGTGATACTCAATAGCCATCGATGTGCTTAGATGATCCCCGAAGATCCTGATCCCCTTGTTTTTTAGTGTCGTGACAAGGAGACGCCTCCGTCCTTGGCTTTAAGATCCCATCATACCAACACGACTAGATTCGGGCAATCATTGGGCTCTCCACATGATCATGACATGGAACTCCTGCTGCAAAAAATTACTACTTTGGGATGTGTTCGTCAAGTCACTCCTACTCATACCAGGAATAGAGAGACACGGAAGCGCTGGAAGGGCTTCTCAGTTCACGTATTTAGCTTAGGGACATGGGCGTAAATATCAAGCTAGTTATCCCTTCGCCTAGCTTAACGATTCTATATTTGTCGGAATATTCCTCTCTATGATTTTCGGGCAATGCTAGGTATATACCATCACAATTTAAGCCGTTGCGTAGAGGCGCTCCGTTTTGATAACTTGGGTCCAAAAGTAAATTGAAGCAGAACTATCGTTGTTTCGCTTGAGACAAGAATCAGACCCTAGAAGGATTGGACTTCTTGTCTTCTCGCCCTGACCATTTCCGAGAGTTTACCATCACCGTGCATGGTAGCTGATGCCTATTCTATCGCCTTGCGCAGTACTTTGTGGCTTGAGAATCTCTCAGCAGCGAAATTATTGCCTCACAAGGTGACCTGGCCTATATTCTTCCTGAGAAGTAGAGATTGACATCCCGTAAAGTAAATGCTCCGTAGGAATTTTTCCAACCCAGATCACACATGAGATAGGTCAACCCTAGATCTAGGTACGACGAGGATGAGGAGTTGTCCTATGCCAAGATCAGGTCGATGTAACATTATTGGGGCGCCAGCAACATCTATCAAGAGGTTTTATTTCGAAATGTAGAAGATAACTTCACTTACCTTCCACCAACCGCACAAAGTAACGAGATGGAAGTGCGAAAACTCTGTTTGGGCAATATGGTTCCATATGTAGCTTGGCAAATATGTAAGGTGAGCACCATACTTATTAGAGTGGTACAGAAGTTTATCAAGTACTCATCAGAGCTTAAGCCATTGGGTTCGTTAGTTTTTTGTTTAGAGATTTGAATCTTGCTGCTTGTCTCACGGTCCCTAGCTATCAACAACACCTCAATGGTCTTCAGTTGAGTCTGTAATTAGGAGAGGCTGATCGTCAATGTATTCTCTTACTAACCATCTAGTAAAAGGCTACTCATACGTTAATTATAGCCAGCGAGGGTTCAAAAGAGTTCTATGGGATACCCTCAAGCTATCCTCAGGATCTTTCAGTCACAAATAGCGATCTTGTATCAAATCAAACTGATTCTGAACTCGTTATAGTTTACCTCAGAGCCATATCTAAAAGGCGTCTTAAGAAAAATACGCGTTTCGAGGTTGGAGTACAAAAGTACTTTAGCCTCCCCATCTCAAGTGGGCATAAATAGCTTGTAGGTGAACTATTTAACCGCAGTTGTTAGTCCACCCTGTCTTTATTACTAGATTTGATAAATCGAGCAGCGATCCGAGCGAAAATATTATGAAGTACGTTGTGATGCTCAGGCTGAGCTCGAGCAGTGCTTTCTTGGTCGGCTTCTCGGCCACTACCGAATAAAAAAGCTTACTATATATGCGGAGGAGTCCTCATCTCTCGAGCTAGAATTGGATGCTTAAATGATCTTCCTCTCACCCTACATTATCATGTAGCGTAGGCTCTTGGAAGGAAGGGTGGAAGTCAGGTCCTCGCCGGTGGGAAAGATCACGCGGCATGTTTAAATGGGACTGTGCAACGACATTGGCAGGAAGAGAGATGACACTCTCTCTCGGACACGATTTTTAGGCCGAGGCTAAGCGCGATATCTTATGCTCGGACTCCTCAAGGTATTCTGCGGCGCCGAATGCTTGACAAAACTTTAATAGAGGAATACTTGTTCGACTGTACAAAAAGTCTCTAGATGAGAGGACTGCGGTAATCCTTTGAATCAGGTATAAAAGCGGGGAGAAATTAAATCTAAAGTTAAGTGGATAGGATGGTGTGAGATCCGCCTTAATTAATGAACCAGTTTAAAGCCGAGCTAAATAAGACAACTCTTTTTCTAAAAGTTAGCCTGGACTCGTAGAACATCATCTAGGCTCAGTAATTACTTGTTGCTTTGTGAAATCTAGTAGTAATAGTAAGTACACACAATGCGAGAGATCTCGGCCTTGAAATAATCATCATATCGGCTTGGACAGCACGTTTCTCTCAACGTACTATGATATTTAGACTTCGTTTTCAAGCCTTTTTAACCCCTGAAGTATATGACTGGCTAGAAAGTCGAAAGCCTCGGCGACATAACTTGTCGAGCCTGAACCCAAGTCGGAATCATCAAAAAAAATCTAGACAATCGATAATCTCGCTGACTTTGATTCTGTAAAATGTCGCTCACGAGACTATTTTGGCTGTTCTAAAGGAGAAAGATTGGTTCATAAGAAGATTGTGAGGTTCCCGGGACCCTTTAAAGGGGGACCAATAGTTGGTGTTCAGAACTTCACAGCTTAAACTTTTTGGTCAATTGGCAAGATTTATCAATCGTTTGGCGAAAATCTCTCGGAAATTTTTAGAGGATGCTTGAGCTGATGGCTATAATTACTACAGCCTAATTATACTTGCATTGTAGACAGCTATTACTTCGAGGTTTATACTTCCTTTTGTGAGGTGAAATAGTCGAGGCCAAAATATTACATGATGAGCTCAAACAGAAGCTGTTTGACATCTGTAGAGGATAATTGAAGAAAATAAACCAGATGGAAAGACACAAACTTTGCTAAAATACATGCACTGAAGATTTACGTTATCTAGGTTGCATCTGAGCTTTCGGGAAGGGCCGAGATTTTTCTCTGCAAGAAGCCGTATTGAATCACCACATCCAGCCTCAAAATTAGAGAGTTCCCGCCGAAAATAGGCGTATATCCTTTAAAATGTTCAAGATCAAAATCTTGAATTAATTTATCATGACAAAAGCTACTCAGACTGGCAACATAACAAGTACTGGGAGCTACTCTGATGAGCTTTCTTTTAGATGAATGATGATGCCTTTCTATCTGCGCATGAGCAAATTATATGTGTGATAAGCTCATGCTTCCCTGGTATCCTATTTTCCCAAGTCTGTGTTACTTGCTTCAGGTAGAACCTCTCAGACGACGGAAATTAGTATGATTATACCACGCTCTAAGCGCTTCATTTTTTCAATGCTGCAAACCGTGCGGCGAGTTCGTCAACATCTGGGATAGATCCAGTAGTCGGGTCCTTTCGATTAGTGCCGCTTGTCTTTGCTCTGAAACCAACATTTTGCACTTGCTGTGTCAGCTTCAAGTCAGATGTGCCTTTGATACATGGATGAGGATTATCAGTCCGGGGACCTGGCGGCGTCACGCGAAGTGGGCTTGATGGACCCAAGCTCCGAGGTGGTGATAGAGCACGACCTAACTCAGCACCAGCATCGTCAACAAGAGCGACAGGTGTCTCAACCATATTCTGATGTTGATCTGCGTGTGAAGGGGGTTCATCATCCTCGCTTTCATCACTGTGGACTGGAAGGGGTATACCATCGTCAACAGATCTTTTGGGCCAGTCAACACCATATGTGCGAGCAATTTCTTCGAGATATCCGTTGACCAGCTCCGCAACTGGAGGCGTAATGTCAAGTTTTTTTAAGACTTTCTCGCTCACCTTTGAATCTGTATTTTCAATGGCCGAAAGTGCAAACTCCTTCCCATATTTTTCACACAGCAGCACACGCACTTGCTGAAGCTCCTTAACATCTGTCCGTGGAGCAGCATGGATGAGACTCTTGACAGCTTCTTCGAGGCCTATATCACAGGAAGATCCCTCGAGAAGTCTAATTCGTGCAAGTAGAAGTTCACAGTAGAGCTCAAGAATCTCATGTAGTTCCGTCGTTACATCAGATCGAATGATATTCTCGACTCGAATCTTAGCAGACTCAATCTTGCCAGCTTCGAGGATCTGAGCTATAGCACGACGTTGCTGTTTAGATAAAGCTTCATCTCTCTGCTGTACCATACGTAGACGCGCAATGGAAAGTTTCAATTGAACTTTCAGTCTATTCTATGATACGTATACAGTGGTTAGCGAAATCTCTGAAGAAAATCTGTCATTTACTAGCTGAAGTAGCATGATTAGAAAGAACTTACTGTTATCGTAGATGATGCCGGTGCCATCTGTTCCGGTAATGATAATTAGTGGTTGTTGCAACTCCTTCTCTTGCGGCCAATGGTGGTGGGTATCTTATTGATCCATACACACCTTGCTCTTCAGCTTTTACTCATGAACATTGCCTTCATGAAACATTTGATCATCACCATACCAAGAATCCGCAGCCTACCCAAGTTCAGCCTCGTTCAAGTGATTTAGCGAAGAAACCTATTGGTCAAAAGCAACCTTAAATGGCTCTAGGCTGTTGATGATCTTCCGCATCGATGATCCACTGAAACGCATTTCTATGAGGCTACGATCTTACAAGAGCTCCAATATGTCCATATTTATGTTGCAGAATTAAGCCAAATATTTTGTCATAATTTTGAAGTAGTGTACACTTGTAGTACTACGTCTAAATATATGAAGGAACTGTAACTTCTTAGTGCATATTCCCAAATGTAGGTTAAGCGTGTTGGATAAAGAAACACATAAATCAAGAGTGTTTTAGAACAAGCTATAGAGCATTTTTTTAATCCATTTACATCCTATATATGTCTAAGACAACTGTAGGATGTGCACTTCTTTAGGACTGCATCTTCTTATATCTGAGCCAAAACGCATAAATGTCTACACATAAGAGCCTTTTCAAATGTATATCAAGAAAGATCACGCGTCACAACTTGACTACTAAAATCACAATAAATGATTGAAAAAGGTTTGTAAGATTCCGATCCCTCCAGGAATGGCCTACGACATATTCACTACGATAATGTGTCACTGGGGTTACTCTTCGTACCATCTCTTTTTTTTTGCATCAGATTTTAATTGCGTATGCAGCTATCTAGCCATGACACAATATCAAAGACAATTTTTTGGAATTCGAATTTTCGAATTTTCACCTTTTCCCCCTCTCCCTCCCTCTCGTGCTCGTCGCATTCCATCAAATAATTGTGATCGAGTCACTGGCATTTTCACCATGCCACCTGTTCGGAAAAAGCGTCCCAACGCCACGTTGGACAACACGAGAGTCCGCCCGAGGGCTCTCGATCGATTATCTGGCCGTGTCCAGTCTCCGAAATGCGCGGAGATGAGCAAGGTCTCAATCAAAGGAAAGGAAAAAACCCTCCCCGCCGTTGCTGAACCCGATACTGACATGATCGGGTCAGTCGAAATCGTTGAGGAAATTCCTCAACGAGTCTCCGTCCCCCACGGGATTGGAGAATCGTCCAAACCTCCTCCGACCGTGACAAAACCGTCGGAAAACGCTGCACCCATAGCAGCGTCAACATCAACGTGGCAGCCAAAAGCTGCCACGAAAGCAGAGTGTCCCCTCGAGCTACGACCAATAGTCGAAGCTGGACAACGACGCGCCGCCGAAATAGCGGCAAATCTGGCCCTCTGCTCCGCCGCCATCTCTGGCGTCGAAGCAACCCTTCTCCCTTTGACCAACGGGTCAAATAGACAATTCGTAGACTCGATGAGAGTCTACCTACGCGCCGCCATTGCGCAATACATGGCCACGGGCCCGGCCACTACGCCACCCGTTCTTCCTCCTCACCCGACGAACCCTCTCCCAAGGGTTCCCGATGCCAGGAGCCAATCAATATCCACCGTCCCAGCTCTGCCCGTCAAAAGCACCTGGGCCACGGTGGCCAGAAACGGACTGCGACAGAAAGCAGTCCCAACAGCAAAGGCTGTGCCGCAACCTGCGGCAAAAGCCCACCAAAAAGAAACCCCCAAGGCGAAAGTCGACAAGCGACTGTTCCTTCGTCTTGAAAAGGACCACCCGTGGCGAAAACTGTCCACAAGTTGCGTGAGAAGAAAATTGGAGATGAGATTGCTTTTCTTTCACGATGTAATAACCTCGCTTCATCGAGTGAGGACCGGCTTCGCTATACTAGCAAAGGACGAAAAAACACGACAAGAGATGCTAGATGGCTCTTCGAAGCTGGCGAGTGAAAACGCCAAACTCGAGGCATCTTCAGATCTTGTAGCCTTACAGATACCCAACGTACCTGTAAGTATAATCACAGAGCGAGGCCCCATGGCGTTCGATTCTGAGTGGGTCTTCGACAAGATCGTTGTTATGACCGGCGCGAGACCAATACACGTCCGACCTCATGGGACGTGTCGACCTGGGGCACCGCACCGAAACTGGCATGGCCTTTTCGACCGAGAAGTCGCCCCTCGTGCGGGCTTCCGCCTCTTCGAAAAGTCTGGTAGGGCTACCATACATAAGCCTCGTCGACAAATTGAACAGTGTAAACGCTGTTTGGGCTTCCACGCCACTCGTGGTTGCTCCCGCGCTCCAGCCTGCTGGAACTGTGGATCAACTATGCCCTCGGAAGTCGAGTGCAGGGCCCTCACAAAGTGTCGTAACTGTGGAGGACCCCATCGATCGGATTCTTGGGACTGCCAAGTCAGACCTAGAAAGTCTGGACCGGTGACAATAGAGCAGCTCGCGTGGATACGCCACCTCGAGCAAGGGAAGTTCGCGGAGGCGGCTCGAGCTAGGGCCGCAGCTAAAAAGGCCGAAGAGGCGATTGTTGCCACGGCGAAGGATACCGCAATGGCCGAGGCAACAGGTTTCGGAGTGCTGGGACCTGAAGAAGAAGTTTGAGGACACAGAAACCTCGACGATGTCTCCTGGGGCATCTACTAACAATTGGCAGGATACCGGCTGGATCAAAGGTGCCTGTTAACTCATCTACTGCTCTCAGCGGAGATTAAGTAAATTTGTCATTTGGAAGGTGTGACGGACGAGGGAATGTGTGAGGAGCACATTGACTGGGTCCAATGTGGAGGAATCTTCTGTTCTTTCGGAGTTGTTTTGATTTTCTTGATTTTTCGTTTTAGTTTAATCAGCTGCACTTCTGGTAGCGATTCACGAAGTTGGAACGAGTTAGGCTGTAGGAAAGATTACAGGGAGCCCTGCCGGCTCCGCCGGTCCTTGACCCAATGTGGAAAACATAGCTTTAGCTTAGGACAAAATAAACAAAACAAAACAGTATCAGAGAAGTGTATAATATATGACTCAATTTACAAGAAGAGCTCTCATGCGTCGGATTTCATTTGCAAGTACCACTGCAAAGATGTGGTGGCTTTTTCTTCACCCAATGTCAACCCTCAACCGTGAATGCCCACCCAGAGGAACGTCTCAAAAACCCTGAGTTATCCAGAGTTGCCTCTGTCATCCATTATGTTTCCTCCGCGTGAGATATGATCTGAGATGTCTCCTTCCCAAGTGAAGTAGGTGCCCAGGCTACTCAGACTATACCGGAGAACACTTCCAGGAGGCGGATCACGACGCCTTCCATCGTTGACTTGTGTTTGTAGTGTCAGCTGCACTCTCGCAAGTGAAGTCTTGGTGCGAAGAGAGCTCAATTCGTAAAACTCTTGCCAAAATTCGGAATTTCACGCCCGTCGAGAATGTATCCCTCTTCTGCATCATCTTGTAAACTTGTCCTGATCCCTCTCACGTCCGTCCCAAAGGGCTATCTCCCAAAATTGTGCTCCACGCTTTGCTTCCTCCGTCGGGTGTAAATATCGGCGTGGGCGTGTATTTGGTGACCGGCTGAGGCCAGATATAGTTGAGGAGAGATGAGGTCATTGGAGTGAGGATGTACTTGGTCGTACTTGTAAACTTGATGAGACTTAGGTAGGATTTCATCTCTTTGGGAGTAGAAATTTGACATGGAGTATTTTGAATCAATGCCTCGTGGGCCAACTTGTTCGATATTGCGAAATATGACTGAACTTGGCTCAGGGAGAATTTTTGACTCCCGGATTCGTAGAGGACACCGCGTACAGATGTTCGGTCTTGCCATCCTCGAACCATCTCGTCGATCTCTTACAACGATTGAAAAAAAGGATATGCCTGTAAGGGAATCTTTTCCACAAGCGTCAAATCAAGGGACTCTATTTTACGACAAAGATAAACTAAAGATAGGTATGTTAAAGACTTAATCATAGCCTCATACGAAATTCAGTCAAGTAACATCTAGCCCCCAGATATTTACGAAAGATAAACTTATTCAATGTCTCGATTAATACGTCTGGAATTATCATTATCAGTGTCGAAATATTACCACAGTAAAAAGCTAGGAACTTGTTCAATCCCCAAGAATCTGCAAAAAGCAACATCCAGCTAGAGCATCGAACTACAATCTTTTTGAAGAGTTGATTCTAAATTAACGGCGAGCGAGTCAATTACGATGCTCTCAATGTTTTGCGACTTGCTTCACTCGACAATATTAATGTTACAAGACCTAGATTAGTGATTAAAATCTCAACGATAACCACCACTTCTGGTTCAAAATAAAATCAACAAAATTGTAATAATTGCCAAGCTTTGAAATTCTGGAACTTGAAACAAAATACTGTTTCCACTTGCTTAAATTAGCTGGATCAACAAAGACCATTAATCCCTGTAACATCAGCGAATATTTGTCCCCTCTAAAGCTCCTAAGATATGAGGATGATGGAGTCGATTTGAACTATTGGGGTCAGATGCCTCGAGCATTGTGGTGGACGTATTAATAAGATCTCTGAGAAGAATGGTAAGACTGAACATCTGTACGCGGTGTCCTCTACGAATCCGGGAGTCAAAAATTCTCCCTGAGCCAAGTTCAGTCATATTTCGCAATATCGAACAAGTTGGCCCACGAGGCATTGATTCAAAATACTCCATGTCAAATTTCTACTCCCAAAGAGATGAAATCCTACCTAAGTCTCATCAAGTTTACAAGTACGACCAAGTACATCCTCACTCCAATGACCTCATCTCTCCTCAACTATATCTGGCCTCAGCCGGTCACCAAATACACGCCCACGCCGATATTTACACCCGACGGAGGAAGCAAAGCGTGGAGCACAATTTTGGGAGATAGCCCTTTGGGACGGACGTGAGAGGGATCAGGACAAGTTTACAAGATGATGCAGAAGAGGGATACATTCTCGACGGGCGTGAAATTCCGAATTTTGGCAAGAGTTTTACGAATTGAGCTCTCTTCGCACCAAGACT